TATCACCTCTCAAAGCATGTTCTGGAGAGCGGGGACGCCCGCGCGTGACCCTTTGCGCACTCCCCTCAGGTCCCAGTGAAAAAGGTTAGTAATAGAAGAAAACACATCAAATAAAAATTGTTCCTTATTGAAAAGTAATTGATTATTGTTGTATGATATTTTTCTGTAACCCTAACGGTTGACGAAATAATCTTATAGAAACGAGGAAGATAGCCCCAATTGCCGTTTCATGCGATAAGAAATCCAAATTATGCTGGTCAATTTTTCACTTAATCAAATAGCGACGTAATAAAACTACTAGATCGTTTTCTGATGAATAATTCTCATTAGAAACTTGGTTCTCTTCTCCCATTATTTAGTGGAATACTTGACCGGCAAGACGGCGAGTACTCTATATTGGATGTTCGGTGATGTTGTAAGCGACATTTAGGCAATACAAGCCGTATTTTCGTTGAATTATTCCACAAAAAAATCGGAGAAAATAAAAAGTTTATTATAAAATAATTCATCAGAGAACGGTCTAGAAGATGCATCGCTTCACAATTTGATGAATTGAAAAATTCCCCAACATAATGTGGATTTCACATTGCGTGAAACGGCTACATTGGGCCTATTTTTCTTCATTTCCATCCAACCATTTTGTCAACCGATGAAGTTAGAGAAAAATGTTATAATCATGTATTTTTCAATAAAACCCATTTTTTGTTTCAACTGTTTTATTCGCTCCTCAACCGTTTTCATTGTAGCCTGAGCGAACTGCGCGAAGAGTCACGCGTGCACGTCTCCGCTCTCCGTAACCTACTTCCAGAGGTCATAACTCGATAACTTTAAGAGACAGGAATAAAAATAATGGAACTAAAATTTATTTTTATTATTTATTATTAATTTTTTTAAATATATTTTTCTAAACTCGAGGAGTTCCGGTGAAATTCTTAAATATTCTTCAACATATATTCAGGGACACCCAAAATACAAATTCGAAGCCTATGGGCACTTTGAATAAATTCACAGTACATATTTTTCAATCCTGAAAGATAACGTGTCGTCCTTGGACGAGCTTCTTTTCCAATACTAACGAGAATTATGGAATGTGATACTCATCAGCGAGATTATCGATTAATCATCAAAATGATGTTTGAGTTGTTTTATTCCATTGGGCTAGGGGAAATTCAAGGAGTAAAATTTGTTAGAGATCGAGTTATTAATTTATTAACTCATAGAAACAATTGGTGAGACAAATTCCACATTCCAGAAGAGATTCCTTTTGAAAATACAGATTAGAAAAAAAGATTCACCGTTTTTATTCCAATTACAAAATTCATCACATTATATTCTCAAACTACAGTGCTTGAAGCCTTCATTGATTGATTATTCAGATAATTAGTCAACGAAAATTTCAAGTCTTCTTTATTGCATCCTGGTGATGCTTCTCGGAGCTTACTGACAACTCGCATTAAATTTTGTTTGCTGCTTTGATCTTTCGTAAGCAAATTGTTATATTCACTTACGAGAGCCACACTTCTTTCAGCAATGTCATTGGTGACATGGAGAGATCGGACAATTTTGTAGGCAGTAACATAATCATCTCTTTCCTCCCATGCCATCGGATCAGAATCCAAAAAACTACAATCTATTTTCAAAATCTCGAAGAATTTGATTGTATTCTTTGTAACGAAGGAATCTAGGCTCAATTGTTGAATTAATTTTGAATCATTAATACCCGTTGTTCTTCTTTTTTATCATTGTTGAGCGCAGGACGAGATTTTATAGCTTGGTACATCTTTCTCTTTAAATCTAAACTTACGCTTTCGTCAAAAAAAGCCAAAGCAATCAACTCCTCTGATAAATACCAGAGATGCTTCAGAAATTTATCGAACACGGCTTTCCAGACCTTCGACGAGACAGGGCTGGAACAATGGGAATTGGCTACTAACTGTTTCAAGAGATGTAAATCGTTTTTCAGAGCTGTCACTACGTGAGAAGCTGTGAACCAGGTCTTCTGATAGACAAGAACGATGAAAATGCACGTGTCTCTGAGNCTTTTTTATCATTGTTGAGCGCAGGACGAGATTTTATAGCTTGGTACATCTTTCTCTTTAAATCTAAACTTACGCTTTCGTCAAAAAAAGCCAAAGCAATCAACTCCTCTGATAAATACCAGAGATGCTTCAGAAATTTATCGAACACGGCTTTCCAGACCTTCGACGAGACAGGGCTGGAACAATGGGAATTGGCTACTAACTGTTTCAAGAGATGTAAATCGTTTTTCAGAGCTGTCACTACGTGAGAAGCTGTGAACCAGGTCTTCTGATAGACAAGAACGATGAAAATGCACGTGTCTCTGAGACCTGATTTTTCGTGGGACGTCAGATGGAATTGGTCTCTGAACAGGAAAATTTTCAGCGAATAGATAGCTTTGGACATCCACCGAGCATGATGAATGGGACCCAAAGCTCGAAAACGATTTCCTCTCGGTAAATTCCCACCAAGAAAGATTACCACCAGTTCGACAAATTCTCTGTAGTCCCTACGGATGTTTTCATCCTGTAAAATTTACAGAAAAATAGAGCTTTCCATTATTAATATTCATTTTTCCAATTTCATGACACTTTACAGTGTAGAAAAAAAATTCAACAATGCAAGTCAAACATATAAACATGATATTATGGCTAACCTTCAATTGCATTTCGGCGAATGCGAGAATGTCTGCCAAATCATCATGCACGGCTTCTTTTATTGTAGCATCGTATACTCCTGGGGAAAATTCCGTTTTGTTAATGTTCTTCCATTGTCCTTGGAACCTCTTAAAAATTGGAACATCAGGTCCAGAAGTACTCTGCATTGATGTTTCAAAAGCTGTTTTTAGCAGGAGTTCAAAAATATGGTGACGACAGGCCAAATATAACAGATCCCGTCCGAGTAGTTTTGCNCGCACTCACAGTCATCTCATATACTCTTTGTCAGAAACAATGATCTCTTTCATTCCGTCACCCAGGCCACACGCATGATCCAAACCTCCGTTCAACATAAACATTCGTATTTTCCAAACTGTCATTCGTTCCAAACACTTCTCAGGTCACACCTCAATATTATAAACTCAATCTCAAATCTACGGTCTCTATTTTGTCTTTCTGATTAATTTAATTGCCTTTCTGGCGACACACATCCGTTGATTCATACTTCATACTTTTTCTCTTCCATTCCACTGTTCACTTATTCCTTTTTTTTTATTAAATCACGTTCACACACAACACTGATTCTACATCCTGCCATCCTGCTAACAAGTATCGTCCTCGATACTATCACGTCACTCGTTGCTCTCTGGATCAATCTCTGCCTCCTCACCGTCGTCGTCATCTGGATCATCACCATCATCGCTATCAAACCTTACGTCACTCGACTTAGACCAAGGTTTTATGTAGTCAGCGGCGGAACTGGTACGATTCGGCCCTTCATGCTCACCGACTTTCTCCACAATGTACCGATTGTTCCTCAGTACAGTCACCACTTTGTAGGGACCAAGAAACTTAGGATACAATTTCAAGCCTGCCCCAAACTGCGTTCTCTGGATCGCTACGAGATCACCAACGTCGTGATTCACTGCTGGCTTTCTCTTACGATTATACGTCTTCTTATTCTCTTCTTGAATTTTCAAAATATTCTCTTTTGCTTCATCACGTAACGCTGACCTCTTTTCATCAAAAATCTTCACCAATTCTTCTTCAACCAACTGTGCCAGTTGTGGATCTTCTTTGACCTTCATTTTCACTCCAACCATCAGCTCAAATGGTGTTTTCTTAATGCTCCTGTTGTACGATGAGTTCATCTGTTGCTGTACAACGTCCACATACTTGTGCCATTCCATCGGATTAGGCATAGACAACTTCGTCAAAATAGGAATGATCACTCGATTCATCCGTTCAATCTGTCCGTTTCCTCGAGGTACTCCCGTCGTAATCAGAACATGCTCAATGTTCTCACTGCTGCAATACTCTTTGAATGCGTTAGAAGTAAACGCTGATCCTCTGTCGGTAACATAACGTCTTGGATTACCAAACGTCACCGCTTGTCTTTTCAATCTGGAAATTACTTCCTCTGCTGTCGTCGATTTCGTGGGGTAAAGCCACACAAACTTCGTGAACCCATCAACCACTGCAAATATGTGATTGTATGATTTCTTCGTAGAAGGCATTGGACCAAGATAATCAATATGGAATGTATCCAATGGCACCACACCTTTCTCAATGGAATTTAGCCATCCATCGCCTTTACCTTGCTTCTTCTCAGCCAACAAACACTGGACACAATTTTCAATCAACTTCTGCACTTTTTCCCTCATCTTGGGAAACCAAAAATCTCGTTTAATCAAATACTCTGTTTTTCTCCAGCTAAAATGTCCACGCTCATGTGCCTGTTTCATCACATCGTACTGCATAACCTTGGGAACTACCAACAATTCAGCCCCCTCACTCTCTCTGTACAACACACCTCGTTTGGTCATCGTGAATTCATCGTTCTTCCCATTCTTGATAGCTTCAAAAATCTTTTGTAACTCTGGATCTTCCTTTTGGGCTTTAATAATTTTTTCAACTAACCCGTCTCGGCCTTCCTGCACTGCCAGAACTTGAACTGGGTTCCTACTCAGGGCATCCACATGACGCATAGCCGTTCCTGGCCGATGTTCAATCGAATGATTGAACTGATCAATCAACAGCGCCCAATGGTAGACTCGTAGACATAAATCTTTCTTTTTCATAGTCAAGACGAAGGCTTTACAATCAGTCACAATCTTGAAATGAATATCCATCAAATAAACACGGAACTTCTTCAGTGCCTTCACTACAGCAAGAATCTCCAACTCGTAACTTGTGTATTTCTCCTCAGCTGGTGTAGTCTTCCAACTGGCGTAATAAACTGGGTGGAACTTACCATCTTCAGCGTCTTTTTGGAGCAACATTGCCCCCAAACCACCCATGCAGGCATCTGTATGTAGCTCGGTCTCAGNTGTAACTTGTGTATTTCTCCTCAGCTGGTGTAGTCATTGCCCCCAAACCACCCATGCAGGCATCTGTATGTAGCTCGGTCTCAGCACCGACTCGATACAGCTTCAGCACTGGACTCGCTACCAATGCAAACTTCAATTTCTCAAATGCCGCCTTCTGATTCGGCCCAAACTCAAATTTAACCCCATCTCTCAACAACTGTGTCAAAGGGCGTGCATGCACTGCAAACTGCGGGATGAACTTCCTGAAGTATCCCGTGAGTCCCAAAAAACTCTGCACTTGCTTCACTGTTTTAGGTTCTGGGAACCTACTGACTGCAACTGTCTTTTTAGGCGAGGGTTGGTACTGCCCTGCCTCAATGATGTACCCAAGATACTCCACACGTGGTACCAAGAATTCTTTGCCCAATTAAAAACCACACCGTATTTGCTCGCGGTCTCGAACACTGATTTTAATTTCTTCAGGCAGTCCTCTTCATCTTTTCCAGGGATTATTAAATCGTCTAAATATGCTAACACTGAACCATCTTGAATCAATTTCCGAAAAACAGCCCTCACATGTCTTTGGAAAACTGCTGGTGAATTGCACAATCCAAAGGGAACTTTCAAAAACTCATACTGGCCATCCGGAATCACGAACGCCGTGTATTTAATACTTTCTTCATCGATTGGTACATGAAAGAATCCGTCTTTCAAGTCCAATGTCGCGAACACTCTTGCGTCTTGAAGTCTATCCAGTTGATCCTCAATCAACGGGAGTGGATTTCTGTCTCTAACTGTTTTTCTATTCAAAGATCTGTAATCACCACAAAGTCTTGTATCCCCATTTTTCTTATCCGCCAACACTACTGGACTAGCGAAATTTGATGTACTGGGCCTCGCTATCCCATCGTCCACCCACCCTTTCACTATTCCATTGGCTTTCTTGTTTTGCTCAGCTGATAAACGTCGAGGACTCTGAAAAACAGGTTCATCGTCTTTCAACACAATATGCATCTTCACCCCTGTATCCAACTCTTTCCTCGGTTCATACGACTCAATCAGCTCTTTCAACTCTTTTTTCACTTCTGGATTTTTCACATGATCGATTGACACCACTTGTTCCTCACCAGGTTTAACACACACATTAATGTTCAGCACTTCGTTCCATCCGACGTCATCAGTTTCCACTTTGTCTATTTCTTCCTCAATTTTCACAAGAGTCGCTTGTCTGTTTTTAAATCTCACTTCAGCATAATCTGATAATTCCGCACCTATCAGCAAATCATGTCCAAGGAATTCATCAGGCACCACATCGAAGTTGAGAGTAAACTTCAAATCATCCACACAAATTTCAGCTCTGAAACGACCCAACGTATGTTGTATGGTCGATCCCACACCCTCAAACGGAATTGTCTCTAATTCTAGTTTAGGTGCACCGAGTTTCACATAAAAACTAGACCGTGTCAAATGCAAATCACTTCCGGAATCCAACACTGCCTTCACAACTCTGTTCAATATTTTTACGTCTTTATAAGTCTTTTTATCACCGGTTTTCAACACATCAACACGTGCTTTTATGGGTCTGGGGCCATCTGCACCACTCGGCTTGCCATCTTTCTTACACTTGTCAGACTTGTGCCCAAACTCACCACACTTGAAACATTTCGGGCCTTTGTCTCTATCAGGACACTCAAAACTCACGTGAGCTCTTGAGCCACAATTAAAACACCTCTTTTTCTTGTCTGTATTTTGTAAGGGAGGTTTTTCCCCCTTTCTAGCTTTGTCACTTGTTTTATCACTCGTCTTATCACTTGATTTCTCACTCGTGTGGGGTTTATTAGATTTCCCCTTACTATTAATTTTCTGAGTCTCATAATGCAATAATTTCTTCCTCAACTCTTTGATAGAGTTGGCACCATAGAGCACTGATTTATTTGACTCCTCATCTTGAATTCCGTCAATGATGTATTGAATTTTCGCTTCTAATTCAATATCAGCATGACTGGCAATTTCAAGAACACGATAAACATACGTCTGATACGTTTCATCATTTTTCTTCTTCGCCAGGCTCAACTGCCTGTGCACTTCTTTGCTGTTAATGGTTTTAGCAAACTCGTCAATCAGAGACTTCTTTAACTTTTTCCACGTCTTCACTTCACACTCAAAGTTCACAAATAATTTAGCCGATCCGTCTAACAATCTTTTGGCATAAATCACTTTCTGCGCATCCGTCCATTCACACAATTCTGCTGTCTCTTCAAAATTTAAGACCCATCGATGAATGCTCTCACTTCCTTCGCCCTTGAATTTACCAAGCGCGTCCTCAACGTCTTTGAACGTCAACACTGGGGATTTGTAGTAACGTCGCTCCACTGTGCGTTCCCGTCTGTTCTCTGGTAAGTCTGGAGGCTCTTCTTCCTCGTCACTTTCCTCATCAATGTCATCATCACTATTTTTTTCTTCTTCTTGCTCGTTGGGTTTATTCTTACGAGTTTCTAGTGCCATTTTCAATCTTTGCACTAGTTTCACTTTATTGCCACTCACTTTGCACCCTAAAGCGGACAATTGCGTCTTCAATTCTTTCACTGATAAAGCACCAAGTCCTGTATCATCGCTGATTGTTGCTTTTCCATCTTTCTTCTTAGATTTCGTCTTAGATTCATCGTCTTCTGAGTCTTCTGGTGTTTTATCACCCTTTCCATCACGTGCTCTCTTCAATCTGTTTAGCAAAACTGCTTTGCTACCCGTCACTGACAGATCTATCTCAAGAAGTTTTTCTCGTAACTCCTCGATCGTCAAATCATCGAATTCGTCTGCACCGTTTTGGCCTCGGCCCGTCATTGTTGCACTCAATTTATTTTCTGCCGTCAACGTTACGCGAAAATACTTCGTGTGGCCGTCTGCCGATCACGTATTGTATCCAGAAGAACTTCACTGTGTTTACACGCCGTCTTCACTGGTGGCACTCAGCCTTCACAACTGCACTTAATCCGTAAAACTCCATCGCGCCATATGTCAACTAATCACTGTCTTGACTCGATCCCGGACGAGCCCCCAATTTGTAGGATCATGGTCAAGATTCAGGAATGTAACATAAATGGTTAAACTTTATTGGAATAATAATCGGATTCAACTATAAAAACATTTGAATACAAGTCACATAGACTTTGGTTATCAATAAGGAGCTCATTAGCTCTCGAACTTAACGCGTCGTCTCCTCATCGAGGACTGACTCATTCCTCAGCCCAATCATCCCAGCATACCCTAATTTCTCCATACGTTTTGAACACTCTCTCACTCGCACTCACAGTCATCTCATATACTCTTTGTCAGAAACAATGATCTCTTTCATTCCGTCACCCAGGCCACACGCATGATCCAAACCTCCGTTCAACATAAACATTCGTATTTTCCAAACTGTCATTCGTTCCAAACACTTCTCAGGTCACACCTCAATATTATAAACTCAATCTCAAATCTACGGTCTCTATTTTGTCTTTCTGATTAATTTAATTGCCTTTCTGGCGACACACATCCGTTGATTCATACTTCATACTTTTTCTCTTCCATTCCACTGTTCACTTATTCCTTTTTTTTTTTTTTTATTAAATCACGTTCACACACAACACTGATTCTACATTAAGATGCATGCGCCATTCGTATTACCAGTGTGGCTTGCAGTAGTGTCAAAAACCATGGCGCATACATCATCGAAGAGATTAAATTCTTTCAAGGAATCGTATACAGCTTTAGCTTGCTGCTCTCCACTTCCTCGCTTGAGTCCAGGGACCCCGAGCAATTGATGCCATTCATGACTTGATACGAGGACTGGAAGGCGATCAATTTTTTCATTCTTATCTTCCAATGATGATAATTGTTTGCCGTCCCAGTGAACACATAGAACATCACACGGTCTCTGGTTCGCATTATTTCGAATTGTATTATTCAGAGACTCGCAATATTCTCGTCGACTTCGACGAACAGTCTCCCGGCTCAAATGAATTTCCTCCAAACAAATCCCGAGTTCAATGAGAATGGCAGCTATTATTCGTGCCGCCATCCGATCGCTAATTTTGGCTCTATCCAAAACCGCCGTAATATTTTGGCTCATTATCCTGCGTTTTTTAGGTTTCATGGCCGCTGAAGGAGCGTCGAAGTCACTGTCCGTGTCGTCACTCTCATCACCGAACTCTATTTGTCTTAAAATTTCATCGAAATCTGCTTCATCTTCGTTGAATACATAATTTCCCAAATCTGTGGCAATTCCGGTTCGTTGAACTTGAAAATGAAAGGAACGAAACGAAAATTATGATGGGATTGCATCAATGAAATTCTTAATTCCAGAAAGAGAAATCCGTTTTTTTATTCGAATAATATGGAAACTCATTGTTTCTTGCCACTTACCTTGTTTGAATAACTCTGATTTTTCTCCTCTTTCCCCTTTTTCTACGCCAGGAAGTACCCAAGTCCCTGTATCGATAATTCTATCCAAGCAACCATTTCGTCCTTTTTCTTGGTGGACAGTTGTAAGAGTCTTTATTTCTTGGTTTCTCAGTCTGCTCACTTCTTCTTGATGAGAAATATCAAAAAAATCATCCAACATGCACATAAAGTTCATCGTTTGTATTTGATAATTGTCATATCTCTCTAGCAAAGCACCAAACTTGCGAATCCTTTTGTATTTTTTCACCAAGTCTTTCATTTTCTTGACCGCGTGCGCCTGGTGGATCATGGGAATTTCCGCATACTCCCAGAACATCACACACTTTTGCCAAACACACTTCATAGCTTTGGGAGCAGTGAGTTTCGGGGTTCCACGTTGGGTGTAATGGAAATAACATTTTAAAATCTGCCTGTTCGAAGGCAACTGGTTACCACAAATTTCTGGGGTTACGTTACCGACCAACGGAACTACCGTATTTTGTCGCGTTTCCGGCATATTAGTTTCTTTTATCCACAAATTCAAATATTTACTATGAGAGTAAAGTTACAGTGACGATTGCAGCGATATCGACGGTTTGAAAGCCTTGTTCTAACTGAGCTCTGATGCATAAAAGAAAATTGTCACGAGGTATTTTATTAGAAGGACAAAATGGGTGGGGTTCTTTAGTCCTAAACTTAAATGAGAAACGAAAGAGAAGTTGGGTCTGTCGCCTAATTTCTCGAATAGTTATGAATGGTCACCAAGGTTTTCCCGATCCTCAGGTAATATTCGTGTACTATTGAGCTGAATGACTCCTAATAGACATCCACAAATCCTCCACATCGAGGAAAAATTCCTGGAAATTAGTACTATGGCCGATGCAGAAATTCAAACACCACAGGTACGCCTATCAATAAATTCGATCTCCATGAAGGGAAATTCTACGGAAAATTAAATTAACGAATTTGAAAGTGTCTATAAATGATTTTGGAGAGACAGCTGAATTTTTTCGAACAAATAATTTTGTTTCTTCATTAGCAAAGGAAAAATGAGTGAAGACTAAAATAAAACTGAAGAAAGTCTTTCAAGTCTGCAACAAATCCAAATTGGTTTCCATGATTTTGCAAAAGTTACTGTAGTTACCCCGATTTTTCCTGCCGTTAATAGGGGGAATTTTCTTTTTTTTTATCATACGGCCTATTTCATTTGTCTTTTACAATTTAGAATATGGTCCGCTTTGGAATGATCTTTTGTAGATAGAATAACGATGCTTGCATTTGAGTATTAAGCTGGGCTTTCGACTTTTTTTGTCAGTCACTTTAGAAGCACATATCTCGGAAACTATTGAGAAGTTATCGAGACATGATGTGAGAAAAATGCGCGGAATTTCCCAATGAATCAAATGGTTTTTTATTTATTTATTTCGCTAAGTGAAATAGTTATCGAGATATCAATATTTGTTTATCGGAGTGCGCTGAGAATTCAGCGCATCTTTGTCTCACACAGGAGCTTGTACGTTAGCCTCTCTGTTCCTCTGATCAAGAGCATAGAGAGTAGACGCGCTGGTCATGATAGCGACAGGGATGCAACTATACAAGCTCCTGCGTGAAACAGAGAAGCACTGAGTTCTCAGCGTGCTCCGATATACAAACATTGGTCTCTCGATAACTATTTTACTTAGCGAAATGAATCAAAAACCATTTGATTCGTTTGAAAATTCCTCGCATTTTTCCTGTAACATGTCTCGATAACTTCTCAATAGTTTCCGAGATATGTGCTCCTAAAGTGACTGAAAAAAATAAAAATCAAAAGCCCAGCTTGGCTTTATATCACATGTTTTGAGAATTTGATTCCGAGCAGCTGTGTACCTTTGAGTCAATTCGATGATCCCAAGAGTCCTGACATGGATCGCTCCCTCTTCAACGTATTGAACGTTGATGCCTAGGAACCCCCGAACGAGGCGCGTCGCAGCATCCACCTTCAAACTGACGAATCTCCCCTATAAACAGAATGATATTAAACTATGACCCGTGAAGGAAATTCAAGAATTGTGTGATTGTACTTGCTTGAAAAATTGGGTAAGGAAGAATCAGCATTTCACAAGAATACATAGGAAATAATCAACCGAAGTTGAGGAGAGTTGAATACATTCGTTTCGTATCAACTCGCGAACTTCCTTGGCCTTGTCGACGACCATTAGTCGGACATTAGCTGCTGATATGGTGAAAGCTTCGTTTTCTCTGACGGCTGCGATGAGAGGATTCAGGAGCTTTCGGAAACCACTATTATCTATCAGCGAGAATGGACCAATTCAATGCAGGCTTCTTTGATCTCTTCAGAAGTGATTGACACTACCAACGATTTAGATCTCGGCCTCTTCGCTACCTCGGCAGCAGCTTTTTCCTCAAGAACTCGCTTGTATTCTTGTTCGGTTTGATTTGAAACGTGGGGAATAAAAACTTGAGAAGAATTCTCGATTGGTTTTCGATCAAAAAAAGTCTGAAATTTTCAAAAAGAAAGTTATCTTTTGGTTTTTCCGCGATTTACCCAGTGACAAAACGCGATTTTAATGCGATTTACCCCAAAAAACGTTACAAATTGCAATTTGACCAGGTTACCCAAGATTTTTATCCAATTTTCTTCTTTCAACTTCGATATTATGGAAATACCAATGTAAATTCCACTAATCCACTTTGCGCTCCCAAAAATGGTTGGAGATATCGAATAAAAAATAACATTAACGGCACAATAATGTTAGTTTTTATTCGATATCTTGACTAATTTTTGGAAGCGCAGGGTGGATCAGCGGGATTTTTATTGGTATTTTTATGTGTTCAAAGATGAAAAAAGAAAATTGAAAAAAAAAGTTGGGTAACCTGGTCAAATCGGAATTTATAACTTTTTTTTTTTGGTAAATCGCGTTAAAATCACGTTTTTTCACTCAATAAATCACCGAAAAACGAAAAGATAATTTTCTTTTTGAAAATTTCAGACTTTTTTCGGTGGAAGAACATAAGAGAACTTTTTCAAATTTTTAGTTGCTACGCTTCAAATAAAACGGAAAAATTTAAAAATTCCACTTTTACAAAATGAAAAAAAAAATCATATCTCAGTCGCAGGACGAGATAAAGGGTTCAAACTTCATGAGTACTTTCATTTCGATTGATTGAATAAAAAGAAATTAAAAAATGACAATCAACAATTTTGAGACCAAATTCCAGTTCGATATTTGGTAGAATTGCCCATATAGAAAGAAGGCATGGACTATTTTTGTAGGGCACGGAGTTGAAATATTTGTAATTGAATGCAAAAAACAATCACCCAATCATCAGTGGTCACGGAATTGCCCTTGATTAACTAGCTATGATCATTTGATGAAATTGAAAAAGCTCACTGTCTTTCTTACCTGGTTCTATGA